TTAAAGTGATAAATTCAAGGATATCACGTGACAAATTCAAATTTATCACATGATAAGTCATTCAAGCCACAGCAAGCTATAATAAGCTGGCTTATTTTGAACACTACTCTCTACAATTATATGTTAGCCTTATACTCAATACATGGGAAGATGTTAAAAATTTGATAAAATTATATAAAAAGAGTCATTTTGTTAAAGTAAAAATAATTATCATTTAGATCATTTTGGTATTCAGTGTCATATTTATAAATGTTCACAGTCACGTGAATATAAGGCCAAAAAAACAGTTGATATTAATAAGCAGCATAAATAGGTTTCTATAGCAATAAAATGTAAATAGCATATTAATTTTAACAACTGCAAAAAAACTACTAAAATTGTTTATACTTTATTTAAAAATACTCATAATCATAATTTGAATCTGTTAATTGCTCAAACGGTACTATATTTTTGTAAACTGACCAAGAAGATGATTAAAGACATAAAATTTTATATCTGTTCTATAGAGAGTAGTGGTAGCACTTTGCAATACAATCTGTTGAAAGCAAAATATCCTAGTAACTATATTAACAAAAAGAATGTACATAATGCTATTCAACATTTTAGACAACCTTTTTGTAAAAATTTACAAAATAATGTTGCAGAAACTTTGAAAAGGTTAATAGCTTTAAAGGCAGAAGATTCTAATTAGGTGGTTGTATCTAATATCCAAAGCAAAAAAAATAGATTAATAGCTCTTTTTTGGATGTTTTCGTTACAAATCTCATTATAGACTCAGTTTCATGACATAGTGATGATAGATAATACTTGTAAAACTAATAGTTATGAAATGGCTTAATATTTTTTCTTGATTGTTGATAACTATACTTGTTTTTGTATTATCATATAGATGTTGTTAAAGAATGAAACACAAGCTTCTTATGAATAGGTTTTAGTACAATTAAATAATACAACTAATGGAATTATTTCTAAAACTATTTATTCAGACACTGACCCAGCCATAGGTGTAGCTTTACAAAACATATGGCTCTATACACATTATTCACATTGTATATTTTATATAAACAACAATTTTATTAAAAAAAGAAAAGTTATTATGGGTAAACAATATGGTGAATGCTATAAACTTTTTTGTTGTTTTTAGAACAGCTTGTTTAAAGCCAACTTTGAGCACTATTAGACACGTTTTGTTAAATTTCTTCAAATATTCTCCAAAGCAACATGATATATACTTAAGACTCTTTACTCTATATGGTATAGTTAGGCATTTTGTTACATACAATCATGTTTTATCACTGGTATCTAAAGCATCCAACAAGTGGAAGGTATTAATGCAATTATTAAAAAGAAAGTTTTACATAGTATAATGTTATTAAATTTAGTTGAAGCAATACAAAATTAGGTAAATGAAGAGGCAAATTATGTACGTATAAATAAACAAAAAATACAAACTCTACTATTGGCTTGCCTCATGTTGTGAGTAGATATTTTCTTACTATCAATTCATTAATTCAGAAATATTTAACTTTACATGTTCTCTCACTTCAGAGACAACAACTAACTGAAAGCTTCTTGTATGATATTACAGAACCTTTTTTTTGATTAGAATAACAATTTTTTAGAACTAAAAAATATTATAAAAAACAGGTGTCTTAAAGATGACTATGAACGTCGTCAAATAAAGTTTAAATTATTGTTGCAAAACTTAAAACGTGATGATGTTTTACAAATCTGAGCTGTAACTCCACAGTGATCATTTCCAAATTATTTTAACAATTATGTTATATTACTTAATGGCACACATTTATGCAGCCTAACATTAATTAACAAAAGAATCATCTGCTATCATTTCTTTAAATTTCTTATAAAATCATATTTAGCTAGATTTTATATTTCTTTGATATTGAGTAGATGGTATAAAAATAATATGAATGACAATGAAAATCTTATTACTTCTCTTTCATCTATTAGATTGTGTGAATCTAACCAAACTTTACTATCTAAAGGTGATCAGATAATTAATTTCAAGTATTTATCACAATTCTATGTTAGTAATATATTTACTTTTGTTTTGAAAAAGACTGTTAGTAAAAAGAGCTGTTAGTCCAAAGAATATAGAATATCTAAGAAAGCATTGAATTTAATGATACAACTCAACTGTATTGATAAGTTTATTCAAATGAAAGAGGAGTTTATTTTGACAAAAACATGTGAGCTGCAATATTTGAAAGAGGAAGGAATTTGCAAAAATAAGAGTGAACTGTAACAAGTTGTTAAAGAGGAAGAAATTTGAGAAAATATAGTTGAACAACAAGTTGTTGCAAACCTATTTGTAACTAAATGTCAGAACTGGCTGCCTAAAAGATATAGAAGCACACTTGAAAATATTATAAATTTACAAAACTTCAATTTAATATTAAATAATAAAAAGAAGAAAAACAAGTATACTAACTGTGGAGATTATAGACATAATATTAGAACTTGTCTGACATAAGAAGAATTTATGTAAGTTGAGTTTGGTTTAAATAACTTTAAAACTGAATGAATTATTTTTAACAAGTGACTATTTTATATAAAATTGCAGACATATAAACAAGACTAGAGAATTTTTGTATATTATCATAGATTAAAGTTAAAGTGAATGCATAGTCAAAGGTGTATTAAATAGAAAATATAATGAATATAATCAATATAATGCATATATAGGTTGCTTGCTCAGTTAAATAATAAGTAGTAATTTAGATAGATATATTAGATAAATAGAATCTGTTTTGGTAAGTATATTACAGTATTAAATATATTGATCAAGTACTTTAAGTATATAAGAATTTAATTTAATTTATAAGCCTTGAATGACAATTGATTTAAATTTTATTTAAATTTGACTAAGTACAATTTGATCATATTTAGTAACGTTAAAATATTAGAATATAAAAAGCTTTACTTATTTACAATTTTGGCTAATAACTTAAGTTATGACATCTTTTTTGATATAGCTTTGGTTATTATTTTTTTTTTTTTTGAATATTAATGGTGAGACCATGTCTCTGTCTTTATTGAAATTTAATTAAAATCTTTTATA